TACAAATTCTCATGCATGTTCAAACATGGATAAAATATGAATTTGAATCTGGATCAAGAACAAATCAATGAAATTTTTATGCATTTAAATGGAGAAATTAATTTAAAATGATCCATTATTGAACTTCGCAACACAAATAAAACCGCATCGTCTCGAGCCAGCCCATTCCGTTGGAGGCAATTAATAAAAACAATGGTCCAAGGAGCTAGGCCAACCAGGCGTTGTGGGCCGGAAGAGCAGCGACTTGTAATCCCTCCACTGAAGACAGCCAGAGGTGTTCGCTGTTCTGTGAAACCAGCCTCACGCAGTCCCCTCTCCCGTCCAGGAGCCACGAGATCCAAGCTTTTGCTCATATCCCATGGCTCAACTCTCCACTTGGAGTGGGCAAGCCAGCTCAAAGCAACTAACAGCCCAGCCGACACTAGCCATGTTCCACTGTCTTGAAACCCCCTCTCGGGTTACAAGCTGACGCTACTCAGCTCGGTGAACTACTCTACGTCGTCAGATTGTTATATACAATAACTTGGTTCAGAAGCTAGACGGTGTGGAGCTCTTTGGATCTATCCTGCGCTTTCTCTACTGCAGTTTTGGGATATATAATGACCGTCACGGAATACACGATCTTTACTATGTTATGATCATTAATGGAAACATGAATTAATCGGAAAATCAAAAATTCAGAGTGGAGACTTGCGATGATATAAAGAAAGAGGAATCTCTGTTCTTCCGTTTGCCTTAACTTACGCAATGCTCTTGCCTGTGGGATTTTCTAGCAAATAAAGATCATCACCTGATTCAAAAAGAATCCAGATTAAATGAATGCGGGGAAAAAAAATATGGATTTCTTCCTATTAATCAGCATATTACTGTTCCTGAATTATGAGGAAACAGCATGTATAGATTAAATAATTCACACTGCAATAGGTTTAGCTTGTTCATTAGAGGTGAGGCCGCCAAGATCATCCGTGACTCGTGGGAAATTTCTCCATTTAAAAGCTGTCAAAGTCTATGTGCTCCCACACGAAATATTCAGGTCGTCCCTCAGCGTGGAAAATTTTGCCCCTTTCTTGTTTGACCCGCTCAATAACAGCTCTTTGTTGTTCTTTCTTCTCAATTTACAGAACTTTTTTTAAAAGCTAGTTAATCTTCCTCATATTTATATTACTATCCTCCAATTTTCGCTTCCACATTACTTTTTTGGTTTCATTCCACATGTCTTGAACACCAGAAACATGATCGTTCATGACATTTTCCCAACAATCTTATATTCATTTATAGTTTTATAGTGGAAACTGATATCGAAACTTCTTAGCCACACACTCATTCATAGTCATATCATTTTAGTAATCTCGTGATTAGACAAGAGAATCAGTTTATAAGAAATTTTCACTTATTGTTTTTTTAAGTTGTCGATAAATGTACACAGGACTTTGAAAATGTGCTATTCAAATAAATTGCCTAGTTATTCAAAACACTAAATATTTCTATTTTACTCGAAAGTTAAACTCAGTCTTCGGAATTTTCAAGGGATTTGAGTCATTCCAATAGAAGACTTGGAAAACTATACTTATACACCTAACCATGTTCAAACCTTCTCGCACTTCCGCTTACCCAATATAAGGACACATTTCCATCTGTCTGCTTCAAGAGCTCCACAAGCATCGTCCTTTTTTCCTGAGTCGGATTCTCAGATTACTCAGGTAGGGTTTTGAACATTTATTCACTTCAAGATTCTGATTGTGAATTGATCATAAACTGATTAGCGATGTTACTGTTTTTTCTGTTCTTGTTTTAAACTCTTTTAAATGTGCCTCGTCAGGGTGAGTTCATAAGAATATCCAGAAGGTTCTTGGATGAAGATGGTTCTGGGCAGCCGAACTGTCTGTGTTCTTATCGTTAATTTCTGGTTCCTACTTAGTTGCAGCGTCATGACCTACGGGACTGTGACTGATATCTTCTGCTTGAAAAGTATAAAAGATTCACTTGAAGACCCGTATGGTTATCTGAAGTCTTCCTGGGATTTCAACAACATCACAGAAGGATTTATCTGCAGATTCACTGGGGTCGAATGTTGGAACTCTCGTGAGAATAGAGTCATAAATCTGAAGCTGTCAAACATGGGACTCAAGGGCCAGTTTCCACGTGGCATTCAAAACTGCTCCGGCTTAACAGGATTGGATCTGTCAATGAACAAACTTTCGGGAAAAATTCCTGCAGATATTGATGTTCTTCTTCCATATGGGGTAACTCTTGATCTATCTTCCAATAACTTTTCCGGGAAAATCCCCAAGAGTGTTGCAAATTGCACCTATCTCAATTCCCTTAGACTTGATCGGAATCGATTCAGTGGGCAAATTCCTGGAGAATTGAGCGAGCTCGGAAGGCTGAAGACACTTACTGTGACGAACAATCTTTTAATAGGTCCAGTACCGAAGCTTCCACAAGTGCCAGCTGAGAGCTATGCAAATAATTCTGGTCTCTGTGGCAGTCCCTTACCACCTTGCCAGCGAAATTGATGGTCTCGACGAATAGGTTTGAATTCTTATATTGCTCGTAGTAATGATAATCCTTTTTGCAAGTCTTGTAATAATTACTGTGTGCCTGATTGCCTTGGAGTTAGAACTATCTATTTCCCTGCCAAGATTTTCAATCATTAATTAAATGATGATGATAATGATAGGGCCTAGTTGGTTTTTTGCATTTCATGATGTTTTCTCTTGTTATCGGTTTTTTCAAGATGATTGATATTCTTTTACACTTTGAGTTTGATGGGCCCAAAAAGATAATGTAAATTAATGATAGGTTGGTATTTTGCGTGTAGAAGTTACACTTGGTCAAAAGTGAAGATTATGTCATGTTCATTCTCTTCCATGAAGAAATATAATAATGTTCATCGTCATACTGACGATTCTCTATGTATTTTATACACATATCTATTTAATTTGACTGGATCAATACAGAATCACAAGCTCGACTTGGTTTGATGGGGATGTTGATTTTGTTAAATATATAAAGCACTAATCAATCTTTTAAAATTAATGATAAACGCAACTCTATTTGATTAATTTAGTCTACTCTTGGTGGATTTGGGCCCAGCCCATTTGGAATTTTTTTTTTTTGGTTTTGGGTCAAATTGGTGCTTTGGGAGTTAGTCCCACACATTAGAGAAAAACATAGAATAAATAAATGATTGAAGTCTCCCTGTCCCTCTCAAGTTCTCTCTTTTTCTCAATTCTCAGTGATTTTATTGCATGCCTAAGATTGAGTTTCAAGTGTAATTCAATCTCCCGCGGGTTTCAAGTTTTAGTGACAGAAAGCAAATTAAAGTTTTTATATAAGCTTAAACTTGGTTTGGCCTATTTAAATATTTAATAAATAGACTAAACTAGATATAAATAAGAAGCCCCTAATACTACTTGGCCTACTTCAACCCCTAATCATGGATGCATGAGTGTGTGTTGTGTGTATTATATATTTTGGTTCAGCTAATCATCCCATGATTCTGTTGTCCAAAAAAATCTACCCATGATTCTCATTCTAAAAGGTATAAGTCATGATTTCTTGGCGAAAAAGATATATATCAATTAATTATATCGTCTTTCTTTTTCTTTTTGGATAAATTTATTTTGTTTTTCTTCGTCAACGATATAATATGCCGTGACGATCAGTAGTGTATTTATTTGTGAAGAAACTTGTTGGCATCTCCCGCATTATCAATTTTTTTTTTAAAAAAACATGCAATGCATTAATAAAGTAATGAATATGTGCATTTTATTAAATGGTTATCCGATAAAAATGAAGAAACTTTCGGGAAACAACAGTGAGAAAAGAGAGAAAATTAAGAAGAAATTAAGAAATGGAAAAGCAAAGTCGTCTACAAAATGTAAGATTCTTTGTTAAGAAAGAAAACAGTAGGAGAGAAATTTGAAAAAAATAAAAACAGAGAATAACGGTAAAGTCCCAATAGATCAAATTAATGGCAGTTAAGTCCCAATAAAATATTCTGAAATGAGTTACAAATATTAATTTAAACAGTTATAAACCGGAATGTTATTTAGTTGCAAACTAGCCCCACAAATAAGGGTAGAGAAAACTAGGAGGAAAAATTTTAAAAAATAATAAAAAGATTTACAATTTTTAGAAATTTTCTTTCACAGTTTTCTCTTGATGCAAACCAATCCTGAGAGTTACATGTAAAATTTAAATATCGTATTTGAAATTAAAAAAATTCAATTTACAATTATTTGAGTTAATATTTTTAATTTATTTTTCAAAAAAAAATTATTAAGGACCTAAATGTTACTAATTTAATATTCGGTACTTAATTGTCATTTTCTTTTAGCCAAGAAGTGTCATTTTTTTTTCCAAACAAAAAGCTGCACAAAGAAAGATATATATCTATATATCTATGTGGAATTTAAATTCTTTCATGTTAAGGTTGGTAAATTTCATGAAGATTTCCTTTTAAAATGAAAACTTCAGAGAAATTCATAAATCTCAGCTTATGTATAGGGAATAGCTCTCAAGAAAGTTACGTTGAACAGAAAAAAGACGCTATACATAGACATATAAAAGATCGTCAAGAAGCTGCAGAAGAAAGTTTAAAGGAGAGGAGGGTTGGCACCGAATGGGAAGTGATTTTGAAGAGACGATGAATCACCCATGTCATCTTCAGCATCCAATAATACTGAAAAGCGAAGGAGCTCCATTCCAATGCAGTGGCTGCGAGGAGCTAGGGTTTGGCCCAAGGTACCAGTGCCGCGAAACTGATTGTCCCTTCGTCCTTCACGACCACTGTACCACAGCTCGCCCACCGACCGCCGAAGAATCCACCTGTTCATGGGGAACCGCGGTTCGACTTCCTCTGGGAACCGCAGGGCGGACCGAACAGCCGATATTGCGACGCTTGCGGGCAGGACGTCCGAGGGTTTCTGTATCATGACCAATGTTCCAAACACAAGTTTGATTTGCATCCTTGTTGCATGAACCTAAAGAGAACCATGTCTGATCCTAGTGGCACTGTGGAGCTGAATCGTAAAGACAAAGCGCCCCCTAAATGTGTGAAATGCAAGAGGAAGTATCTGAATAATGTTCAGAGCAAGGAGGCTTTCAGAGGGTGGTCCTATGTGTCGTCTTGTGGAAACTATTGCTACCATGTTTATTGTGTGAAGACTTTGATTCTGGAGAACAGGGAAAAGGGTTATTTTAATGTTGCTTCTTCTTCTTCTTCTTCCTCCTCTTCTTCAAGCTTGGTCATCGGAAGTGAAACTGCATCAGCTACGAGCTCTTTGGCCATGGATAGAAGAAGAAGCTCGTCTAAATTATCTGTCACTCGTGCGTTGATCAAAATGGTGAAAGTAGGATTCAGCGCCATAATATCTGTTTTATTCGGAAATCCACCTCCATTGTTTGTTGCTCTCGCTGAAAACTTGCTAGAATAATAGGCTTTGGACCTATCGGTTTGAGGTTTACGTGATTGTGCTTTTACGTTGCTCGTTATGCTTTAGTTATATAGTCTGTATTATGAGTACTTTGTGCGTCGAACTTTTGAGAGTCAATAATTGATACAAGTCTCTGCCAGTTGCCTACGTGGTCTCTTGGCACGCACTCTGGTTGTACTTTTTTGCATTGTTGTTAATAAAATTATTTTTGCATTTTGATTTGTGTATATCAAAATCATTCTAGATTAATTAGGCTTTCAGAATTTTTATGGGCTTGAAATTGAACCTCTATATATAATATCTTCCGACAAGAGAATTTTCACGTTACTATATATAAAAAGTAAATAAGTAAAAAAATTAAATATTACCCTAAAGTATCTCAACCGTGAACACCTAAGATTGGCTTTTTCCCCCCTAATCCTGAACGTTTTCCATGAGAACGGGAAAAGATATTCGAATTTAATGAGAAACCAATTTTACTGACTGAACGTAAGAGTTTATCTCAATAGTTCAATTACAACTCATAAGATCCTGACATATAATGAGCAAAAGGGAGAATAAAAATTAATTTAGCTGGAAAATGACAATTAGAGCTCCATAAGAACATTAATGACAAGACTCCAAATTATTAACATTTCAATAATGAATCAGGGTTCTTACCTATAATAAATTATTCTTAAAAATAAAAAATACAATTTATCAAAAAGGTATTAAAATTTTAAACTAATCGAGGCAATGATTTTAAGTTAGTAGTCTAACTGTGATTGAATTAAGATCAACTTGATCATGATTAAAATAATATAATTTAATTACAATATATAAAATATTTATATATAATCATGATAAGAGCAATATTAAATAATTAAGACATTAATTTACAAGTAAATAAAACTTTCATGAATAAATTATACATAATACAAAAAAATAGTAATAGAGCTACTAAAGCACAAAGTTGACAAGTTATTATTTTTTACTCTATTCTTTTAAAGTTAAAATAATAGTTTATGCTTAACAAAATTATTTAAAAAATAAAATTAGTTTAAAAAATAAAAAAATTATTTTTAAAAAGTTTAGAGCATTCAGGCTAACCCAAATAAGTTCAAAATTCAAAAGTGTTAGGACTGGGCTTGACTATATGGGCTTTTTAGAAAAATAAGATACTTTAAGCCCAATCTAAATAAATCTAGCTTGAATTGAGTCCGATTTAAATAAGCTCGATCTGCTTGAATTACCAGCTCTAGATCAAAGGAGTTGATATAGTTGTTTAATTTCTATTGGTCTTTTTTTTTTTTTCAATAAGCACGAGGGATCTTTGGCCCGGACTTTGCTCCTGATCCTTCGTTGTTTGGGCTTATCTTATTCGCAGAATATCAGTTTACGGCTTGTCCTGAACATAAAACCTAGAACAATCAATTTTGCCAATTATTTTTAATGATTAAAAAAGGGATGGTAAAATCTGCGAGACCCTTTTCGGAGAGGGTTCTAAAATGAGTTCGAAACTGACTCACGTGAGATCTTAACAAGAAATTTGCTCTGCTATGCTTATATACAATGAATATATCTCCTTACAGAATGAAAATTGTCATATAAATCTAGATAATTTGGAAAATCTACATCTATTTATAGTGCATAAATACTCTTCTAATCCCATTTATAAATTGTTTTTTAATATATTTTACTAGAATCAAAGAAGATTTTAAAATTCATCAACTATGTCTAAAAACTTTATAAATTTTAATTTTGACCTTATTATATATATATATATATATTAATAACAAATTTTTTCTTACAAACATTTAATAGATGGAAAAAAGAAAAAATTGTCATAAAAGTTTAATGATGTGATGTATAAATATGATATGTGTGTGTGGGTGTGCATGCATATTTATATATATATATTGCTAATAGTATGGTAGCCTCATGATATACATGCAATCTTCTCTGTAAATAGGAGGTTGCTTGTTCAATCAGTTTACAGCTTCAAATTATTAGTATCTGTCTCTGTAAAAGAAAAGAACAATTCTTGAATAGATTGATAGGACGGTCAAAATTAATTTAAAATGATGCATTTTATTCATCTCCACACTGGAAAAAAAAATTATAAAACCATGTCTGGTCGTCTTGAAAATCAATATTTTATGGCTGAAATATATCATATGCAAAATAAATTCAAATTATAAGAGTGTGATAGAATGAAGGCAAAAGTTTAAAATATAATAATATATTCATATAACCAAAAATAAAACTAAGAGAGCAGGACGTCTTTTTTTTATAAACAGATAAAAAAAATTATGTAGGAACCCAAAAAGATGTGTTGCTGACATTTTGCCTTTGATCTGGTTTTGTATTATATTTTGTTAAAGAAACAATATAACTTTAAATCGTTATACTTTTTTGCATTTTACTATAGGCCCTTGTATTTTTTTTTTGTGTTTTAGGTCTTTACATTTTTATTTTTTTGTATTTTAAATTATTCTAAAATCTCTACACTTTCTTTATTTAAGGATTAAGAATATAAAAAAAATATAAAAAATTATAACAAAACGCAAGCCAAATACAGTACAGAAATTTAAGGTTATGTTTCCCCCTAATTAAATTTCTTTACACTTCTTGGGGGCAGCCCTCTCGGCCTGAGGCAAATTAAAAACAGTGGTCCAAAGAGCTAGGCCAACCAAACGTTGGATGCCTGGAGAGAAGCGACTTGTTATCCACCCAGAGGTCACCGCGCTGTTCTGTGAAACGAGCCTCACGCAATCCCCTCGCCCGAGGGATCTGAGACTCAGTTGAAATCAATCCCATGGTCCAACTCTCAACGAGGAGATGACAAGTTACCTGGGAGCAGCTTCCAGACCAACCTAACTTGAGTCATAGCCGTATTTCACTGTCTTTAAGCCCCATCTCGGATAAGAAGCAGAAGTTGCTCTGGACTCGACCAACGGCGTTGCCTATACAGAATAAGTTGGCTTGGAAACTAGATGGTGTGGGACTCTTTGGATCTTTCCTGAGCTTTCTGTACTGCAGTTTGATATATAATGACCCTCGCCAAATACATGATCTTACTGTGTCATCATGATGCATGCAAACATGAATTCGAGAAATCATGAATTCAGAGTGGAGGCTTGCGACGCTAAAGAAAGAGAAATCTCTGGTTTTCTGTCGTAGGAATAGAAGTAAAGTTAGAGTTTTGCTTTATCTTATGCGAGATGCTCTTTGGGCGGGGGATATTCTACTATTATTACTGACTAAAGATCATCACCACCTGATTCAATAAGAAATGATTAAAGGGGAAAAAGATCTATGGATCGGATTGGCGTCCTATTAAATAGCATATTATTAATGTTGCTAAATTCTGATAAAACAGCATGTACAGATTAAGTACTTCGCCAGGCAATGTAATCCCGGAGTCATGTTTGTATTAGTCCTTCCTCTCTGTGTGCGTGTGAAGAACTTGTGATGGCCAATAATATTAAAAGATCCTAGTTTATGCCAATTGGCTTCCTGTTCTCTTGGTGGCACTAGCTTTTTTGTACCTTTTTATTATAAACAAAAGTTGAGGTGAATTGAGTCTCAATTATTTACTGTTAGGGTTAGGACATATCTTTAAGTTTAAAGAGCTTATAAAAGTACTTATAAATTGTCTATCAATAAAATTCTCACATAATTGACTAGCTTCTGGCCTATATATATATATATATATATATATTCGACTGACATTTTTTTAGCTCAGGCTTTTGTTCAACGTTGGATGACTGGTAAATGAATTAATTATAAAGTCACTTTTATTAATACAAATATCGTCAGGCTCTGTTTCCTTTAGGTGATGACACTTTCGTTCTTTCTTAAAGAATGACCAGGATGGGATTAGATAATTTCTTAGATAATGACCTGGAGCATTTAATTGTAAGATAATTTCTTACAGATATACCATCGCTATGTGACTCTCCAATGAGGATCGGTCTTAAATTACACACAAAAACACCTCTCTCACTAAAATTTTCAATGAAAATATGGCTTGTAAAATTTTTTAAGAAATTAATTGTGCCAAGCTGAATTGTCTATTTGCAAAAAGAAAATCATCATTTTTTATTCTGTTTTATTCAATAACATAATCAAAGTAGTTATTTTTAAATGTATAATGATTATTGAAGACAAATATGTTATTTCATCAAAAATTTAAATATTAAATGTTTGTCACTATGAACAACAAATACCAAGCGTGTTAGAGATGTTGAATTTTAATTGATAACAAAAGAGTCCTGAGCTTTCTTACCATAGTTCACTCAGATGTAAAAGATACACAAGGCTTTGGTACGATAAGTGTTTTGATTTTTGTTAAATTGTGAAAAAGGTTACAAGTACTAGATTGAAAGTAAAAACTAACTAATAAAATTAAAGGCTAAAGGTACAGAATATGAGTCTTTGATATATTGAGTGTTGATTCACTTTTTTTTTGTGTCTTCGTCTTTTATTTATAGTATCAGAGTGGTGGTAGTCGTTTCCTCAAGACCTAAAATGTTTAGTTGAAGAAACTCACCACATAGTCTTTACAAGTGTTCTCCATTTTTGGTAATTAGCCCGTCTCACCGAGATACTTAGGCACAATGCCCATAGATTTTGGAATCACTCAGGATCATGTCTTTATGTGCCAATGGTCCAATGTTCATAACTAGCGAGATTTCGACATGTTTATTTTATCGTGATCTTCTATTGAGCTCGGGGCCAACCCTTTGTTTAGATTGAACCTGACTTTTCAATTACTCAACCCAAATAACTTTGTGACCTATTCGAGTGATGTTTCATATTTTAGTCCAAACAATAAACAAATTCCTAAGGACTAAATAATAATAATAATAAACATATTGAGATAGTAAATTATTATTTTCATATTTCAAAGATAGTTTTTTTGTCATTTTCTCATTAAATAAACCAATTAATTTGAATCGTCTAGATGAAAATTGAATGGCTAGATTTGGATATAATAATATTTTTATACTTTTAAT